TAAACACATTTCATTACACCAAATACACAAAATAATGTTATTTTTAGCAGCATCATATGACCCCTTTAAAGTTTAATAATTATATATTTTAAATAATAATAATAACTTAATTACTTAAGTGCATTATACTTTACAATAGGAATATATTTATGTCAAAGTATCTTTAAGTTAAACCAAACTTTTTTTCTTTTAAATTACATTTTTATGACTAGTGTTTCTGTCAGAGTTTTCAAATCATTTAGCCGCAAGTATTTGTATTAACAGACACAAAATGTACTGATAAATTTGCCTACTATCTGATTGTGGATCATCTCTGACTGTACAGAATTGTAATCAGTTTGATTTCATGTATACAACATTGGCACATTTGAAAATGTACTTTGCACTTAATCGTTCTGAAAAAAGAATAAGCTGTGATTGGTGATTACTCCAAAATGAAATATCATCAGGCCATTTTATTCACTAACTCTGTTTGAAATGTAAGTAACTTTTCTCTTGCCAGCTGCTTCCTTTTAAACTATTATGGGAGAATTATTGTAATGATTAATTTGTTTCCCTCCTCTCATCATCACAGGTCAGGTGTCAGATCTGAAGGGACACTTTGTAACTCAGGTAGCCATGGGGAAAGCTCACACCTGTGTCCTGACCAAGAGCGGAGAGGTGTGGACATTTGGAGTGAACAACAAGGGCCAGTGTGGTCGAGACACTGGAACCATGAGCCAGGCAGGGAAGGGTGAGGACTTTACACGCTTTTCACACTAAACATGACAATTATACATTAGAAAAAGCCCTGAATATTCCTGACCATCTTCAGAAAATGACAACAAATAGTGTGATAGTTAGGTCATTTTTGCTGATCTTATGTGGTGCTTCTTTCACAAAACTATAAAAGGGAAAAGGTTATTATTGCAGCTGATTCTGACATGCTATGATCATTCACAGGCTGTCTGGTCAGCGGCGTTTGAAAGGGTGTTTGTGATATTTGATGTTTTCTTGCCATAGCGTTTGGAGTGGAGAACATGGCTACCGCAATGGACGAGGACTTGGAGGACGAGCTGGATGAGAAGGAGGAGAAATCTATGATGTGTCAGCCAGGCATGCACAAGTGGAAGCTGGACCAGTGTATGGTGTGCACCGTGTGTGGAGACTGCACCGGGTACGGAGCCAGCTGTGTGAGCAGCGGTCGACCAGACAGAGTGCCAGGAGGGTGAGAGAAACCAAACAACACACAAACAGAGTGATGATTACATACAGCACCAGACATGTTTACACAGATCACGATTATCCAGCTATTGACAGTATTCAGAATAAGAAATTGACATGAAAACTGTTTTTTTGTTTTGGCCCACATAAAGTAATGTAATGTGGTTCAAGTGAGAACAAGTAAAAAGAACTCAACTCTTGCTCTTGAAAAGACATTAGCTCATTATTTTAAGAAATAGTTTACCAAAAAATGAAAATTTTCTCACCCTCAGGCCATCTGAGATGTAGAAGGGTTTGTTTATTAATCTGAACAGATTTGGAGAAATGTATCATTGTTATCACCAATGGATCATCTGCAGTGAATGGGTGCCGTCAGAATGAGAGTCCAAACAGCTGATAAAAACATCACGATCGTCCACATGACTCCAGTCCATCAATTAATATCTTGTGAAGTGAAAAGCTGCATGTTTGTAAGAAACAAATTCATTTTTAAGATTGATTTTTTTTTTACTTCAAACCATTGCTACCAGCTAAGATATCTATAGAGTCCTCTATAAATAATATTGCTTTCTCCAGTGAAAAGGTAGTCTTGTCTGTATCAGGAGAGAAATATGCACAGATCAAGCACTGTTTACAAGCAAAAACAGTTCCTAACAAATAGGTCTGTTAGTTTGTTAGTTTAAAGTGAGACGGCAACAGGTGATGGACTTTTTTACTGGAGAAGTTTTATTATGGGATATGGACTGATGTTCTCTCCAGAAGCGACCGTTTAAAGTTAAAACATCCTAATGATGGGTTTATTACAAACGTGCAGCTTTTCACTTCACAAGGTATTAATTGATGGACTGGACTGGTGTGGATTATCGTGATGTTTTTATCAGCTGTTTGGACTCTCATTCTGACGGCACCCATTCACTGCAGAGCATCCACTGGTGAGCAAGTGATCTAAATCAATTCTTACTATTCCTTTAAACCAGGGGTGCCCAAACTCGGTCCTGGAGGGCCGGTGTCCTGCAGAGTTTAGCTCCAACTTGCCTCAACACACCTGCCTTCAAGTTTCTAGTATGCCTAGTAAGAGCTTGATTAGCTGGTTCAGGTGTGTTTAATTGGGGTTGGAGCTAAACTCTTCAGGACACCGGCCCTCCAGGACCCGAGTTTAGGCACCCCTGCTTTAAACTCTAAGACGACATGCTTAGACATGCTTCTTATTTAGACTGAGCGGAGGCTGATTTGTCAAAAAACTAATCTTAAAAAGTAGAAAAACACTGAAAAATTTACTTAAGTGCTGTGATGGGAGTAGTAGTAATTTGTTTCTTTCTACTTTTGAAATGTATTATTCTATATATCAAGTCACTGCTGCAGGTCGTTGCATCAATGCTAGTCCTTATCCATTTATTTGTGTCTGTCCTCTGCAGGATTTGTGGCTGTGGCTCTGGTGAGTCGGGCTGTTCGTCATGTGGCTGCTGTAAAGCCTGTGCCAGAGAGCTGGATGGTCAGGAGGCCAGACAGAGAGGAATCTTTGATGCTGTGAAGGAAATGATACCGCTGGACCTGCTGTTAGGTACTGAGGTGTCATCCAGTCCCATTCAGTACAGTTTCATATCCATCAAATCTCATCCCTTTCCTGTCTGCAGGCTTCATCCTGTCATATGTTCAACCATACTGTCTTCATGCATGAAATATTCAGCTTAGGAAGGGGCGGAATGAAAATTCAACAATTACTCTTTGAACAAACAACATTTTTTAAATATAATACAGTAACCATGAGTAAAAAATAAAAATTTGATAATAATAATAAATGTATTTTATTTGTTTGTCAAGGTGAAAGAGGCAAATAAAAAAAAAAAAAAAAAAATCAGTTTTACATATTGGCTGTTGAACACTTATTAAAAATAAAAAATGATTCAATCTCTAATTTGTACTGTCATGTGGTGTACAGTTATACTGCCCAGTCCTAATGCAGATCAGTGTGGTCTCTGTATATTTGCCTAGTGAATCAGCACTGTGTGTGTGTGTGTTTTGTTGGGATCATCTCTCTGCTCTTGTCTCTCACTATCTTGCGTTGCGTCTCATGCTTATCATTCACCTGCCTGTGTTGTTTCTCATTTGTCTCCTCCGTTGGCCCCGCCTGTGCTGGACCTCTGTTATTTTAGCTGTGCCTGTCCCTCCTCCCCCAGGCGTCAATATAGAGGAGCACACCCAGATTCGACAGGAGGAGAAGAGACAGCGCATCAACCGCCGGCACCGGCTGGAAGAGGGCCGAGGTATGACGTCTACATGACCAGACCCCACAATAAACCCAGACACTCCACACGTGTGATGCACAGACATGCTACTGCATTATGATGCAGTTTTTTTTAATCTTCATAGTATTTTACTATGTAAAGCCAGAGCTGGGTGATATATCAAAGTTTATTTTTGCAACTGATTTACACTACTGTTTAAAAGTTTGGTGTCAATATTTGAAAGACATCTCTTATGCTCACTGAGGCTTCATTTATTTCATAAAAAATGCAGTAAAAACAGTAATATTGTGAAATATTATTGCAGCTTAAAATAACTGTTCTCTAGTTAAATATATATGAAATTGTAATTTATTCCTTTGATGCAAAGCTGAATTTCAGCATCATTACTCCAGTCTTCAGTGTCACATGATCCTTCAGAAATCATTCTTATATGCTGATTTGATGCTCAAGAAACATTTCTTATTATTATCAATGTTGAAAACAGTTGCACTGCTTAATATTTTTGTGGAAACCATGATACATTTTTTTCAGGATTCTTTATTGAATAAAACAAAATCATGCAAGATCATGAATATTGAACTTCAGTAGCAAAAAAGGCGTTGGAGTTTTCGCAAATTAGGTTCAACAGTCTGTTTCAATAAACTGGTTGAAATTGAATTTGAAAATTAAAATTCAACTATTTATTTGCATCAATTGTAAATGGAATTCATCATCTGACATTTTTCATGTATTACAAGTCTTGAAGTAAAAATATATAGATAAGTAAATATTGCTAGTTTATACTATATATTGGTCTCGCTGATATTCGTGTGTCTTGCTTATTTTAATAATATTTTTAAAACTGTATTTCACAGTTTACTACTTGCCAACAATAGCTATTTTGTTAAAAATATTGGTTAAAAATCTCCCTTTCTATTTTATTTGTTTATTTATATTTAAGTTTTTGGGTATATCACCCAGCTCTAATATTATATATATGTTTTTAAAGACAACATTTTTTTTTGCACCATAATATGA